TCTCATAATTACAAAAAAATGAACAAAATGAAAAATTATGATTGGTTGAATGCGGTTTGCACGGTTTGTACAAATTGAGTGGTTTGCATTTGATCGCTCCCCTATATAGATATATATATATATATATATATATATGTATGTATGTATGTATGTATGTATGTATGTATATATATATATATGTATGTATGTATATAGATGAGATGTTTTATTTACAAACCATCCAATTCTAAGAAACTATACAAACCATAATCGATGCTTATATTAGGAAACAATAGAGATATTTATGGACAATTATCATTATTCGTTAATTATGATTGAATTACACATGGAAGTTGATAGTGTCGTAAAAATGATAGATTTGGTGTAGATAAATTTTGGTGGAAAATCATAGAGGTGTAGTAAAAATACAATTGATGTAATTGTTATAGGCAATATATTAACATTAAAAACAGTTTTACAACTTTTCATATACAATTTCTTTGTAGAATGCAATAAAAGTGGCTTAAAATTCAAGAGAAGAATTGATTAATCATTAGTCAATATACTTATCTAAAGTGGCAATAAGAGTGGATTTAGGGACAGCACCAACAACACTCTCTTTCTTCTCTCCATTCTTGAAGAAAAGCAATGTCGGAATGCTTCTTATTCCATATTGTGATGCTATATTCGGGCAATCATCGGTGTTGATCTTAAAACATACTGCTTTGCCAGAATATTCTTTAGCCAATTCATCCACCACCGGAGCAATCATCCGGCATGGCCCACACCATGGTGCCCAGAATTCCACCAGCACCGGCAGGTCAGCTGCTACCACCAATTCAGTCCATGTGCAGTCTGTTACCACTTCCACTACAAAATGAAATGAAAATAAATAAATTGAAAAAGACCTATTTATCCCAATTATATTGTTTTTACTTCTTGGGATCAGCAAAATTCTAAAACTACAAAACCAATTGCTTTCATTTCGGACAAACAACATCCAAAGCGTAGGTTTTTACTCATTTAGCCAATATGACGATTTCAATTCCTGCTTACAAATAATGTTTGAAGAATGACTTCATTTAGAGTGAATGACATGTTTTGTCTTTGTGTTTATATGTTCTTAATAATCCTTGTCCAGTTCTTGAAAGTTCAACGGATCGTATCCTTGTGGTTGCATTTTTACAACGAGTTGGGTCCTTAATGCAACCACAAGCCGTTAATTTATTTAGGAACCAAACTCATTAAAAAAATGCAACCATTGGGACCTAACTCATAAAAAAAGCAATCACAAGGATGTAGCTCGATAAAAAAACACAACCACAAGGATATGTTCCTTTATTTTCAAAAAAAAAAAGGGACATTGACCGTTAAAAACACCTAGCAATAGGAACGAAACATTAATTTACTCTTTTATTTAACTGAATTTTTTTATGTTATGTTGTCATTTATAGCAATTTTGTTTTACTTTGTAAGACTTTTCATATATTATATGAATTGAATTTTTATATTTTTTAAGTTTATTACTCGTGTCATCAATCTATAGTCTTAGGATATGTTGTAATATAGACTCCAAAAATATTGGAACGCACATTTATTTAGGTCAAAAATCTTCTTGGTACTTTAATCTCAATGGTTTCATTGAGATCAGTACAATAAAATTAGGTTTACAAAAGGACAATAATGCCCAGATGTCCTTATGGAATATTTATTGGAACAAACAATTAGGCATTATATATAAAAGTGATACAATAAGTTTAAGTGACGATTACGCGTTTTTAACAAACTTTTAGGACTTTTTTTTAAATAAAGCGTCTTGTTGCAAATGCGCTATGAAAAGATGTGTTCATCTGATATTTCTCAAAACTGTCATATAAAAAAACTACTTGGAAAATTTAGTTTACAAGTGTTCAAAAAAACTTGTTAATGCGTCTAAAAATGGCTTATAAAGTTGTTGTAACACCTCAACATAGGACAGATAGTTATTTGGTTCTATAAACTTAAGTACTATAGACAATTCATGAGGATATTTAAACATTTTTTTATTAACTGGATATCTAATCCGCTATGCGAGCCGACTAATCTCAGGACGACCACCTGCTTTGCAGATAGCCCGGAGTCACCGCATTTAAACTTCCATGGCCACAAGGGGATTTTTATTACTATCATGTAAACTTGATTTTGTTGCAGTGACACTTTTCAAATAGAAAAGGTTGATAGGAAATTTTATTTTAAACGTGTATGAAAAAAAACTTGTTAATGCGCTCAAAAGCTGTAATAACCAATTTTAGAAGATCTTTATATCACTAAGGGGTTGTTGTATAAATGTTGGGATTCCTTTCCATAAACCCAAGCATCCATCATTATTTTTACTTAAAAGAGCTTGTAGAGATGAAGTAAAGATATCGTAAATCTTGGATGAGAATGTTTTTCTAGAGTCGTGATCTGTAGCATGCCTGGTCGCGTATCTCCTTCGAGAATTATGCCTTCCACTTATTTTGGTGTTGGGTTCAGTTGGGGCTTTGTTTAGGGTTGTAATCAATTGATTCTAGGAAAGTATTCAGTTGGTGATCATGTGAGTTCAATATCGTAAGTAATTTGATTATTCAGGTGTTGCGTTGTTGATCGCTTGGTGTTACGGGTATGATTCTAGCTTAGACTTGGATCTGAGGTGAGTTTCTTATATTACTTTACTAAATTTGAAAAAGATGATCTAATTATTCGTGGTTTACAAAATGTGTGTTGATAATTATGCAAGCATGCTTTATCTGTAAGTATTGCATGTTGTCAAGAAATTGTGGCGTCACATTGGGTGCATGTGGGTCGGTAGCTGTCACAGCGGGAGTGGACACATGTAGGACTATAATGGTTCGCATGTGGGGTTTCGTTTTCGTTGTGCTATAAGAATTCGTTTCTTCTAGTCCCATTAGGTTGGCATATATTGCAATCTTGTCAAGGGGATCACAGATGTGGCATGTGTCAAGGTAATCACATTATTGTTATGGTTCTTGCAACCATTGTGGATTGTTAGTTAGATGGAAAAGCAGTCATGCGAGTTGACATTCATTTTGTGTATATATTTATGAGAAACGATATTGAAACATACGTTTCAAATATTACTGTTTGTTACAAAGAATTAACTAGACTTTTCAGTCTAACCCATATTTTTAAAATAATTGTTCTCCAGGTTGTTACCTTTGTGGAGGGTTTGAGTGTGGGCAAGGATAAGATGTGAACCTCAAGTTTGGATGGTTGTATGGTTACCGATCTCTAGTTAGTGGAGTCTAAAGTTAAGCTTTCGAAGCTTTTCTATAATTATGTGAATTAGTTCTCTTTGGGGTCAGTTTATTGCATTTTGTTACAGTATTTGAGTTAATTTTGTTGCACTTGACGTCTTTGTGAACCATGAAAGTTTTATTTGGGTAATTTAAAGTAACTGAGGTGATTTTTGAAATTCGATACGTTATAAAAGCGTCTTATAAACTTGTTGTAAACAGTACAACAACAAAATTGGGCAACGCTCATTTTATAGGACGAAAGTATAAAGTGTTATATATAAAAATCTTACAATAGGTTTATAGAACGTTTTCAGGTGTTTCAACAAGATTTTTAGAACGTTTTTAAAATAAAGTGTCGTATTAGCTATTTTTATAGGACGCTTTTTGAGAATTTTCCAATAAAGCATATTAAAAACTTGTTAAAACACACAAAAACGTTCTATAAACCATTTGTAACACTTTTAGATAAGACGTTTTTCTTTGTTTCGTCCCGTAAAATTAAAATCTATAAAATATTTTATTAAGATGCTTAAATCTAATTAGTGGCAGGGGGTGGCTGGTGCTGAAAACCCCCATCTATGGTAAAAGAAGGAATATGAGAGAGAAGTAAGGAGAAATGTGAAATGGTATTTGGCTAGATATGGTTAAAACCTAAGTTTAATGATTATCATATACGGGATAAATATCATATTTTAAATGTAAAAAATATAAAATAAAATTAAGATATTTTTGAGTTTTAATAGAATACTTAATTATTATCTTTATAGAAAAGTATATTATTAAATCAAAAATAAATTGATTCGTAGTTAAACTAATAGAATACTTAATTATTATCTTTATAGAAAAGTATATTATTAAATCAAAAATAAATTGATTCGTAGTTAAACTAATAGAATACTTAATTATTATCTTTATAAAAAATTATATTATTAAACTAAAAATAAGTTCATTTATTATTAGACCTAAATTAAATTATAATAAAAAAATTGAATCAAAGAAATTACAAAAAAAACGATAACTTTTAAATAATTAATTTGATACTAATATCGATATTATATTTTTCAAAATTTTAATTACAATTTCTTCAAATTTATATATTATTCAAAAATAAAATATTATCACTTTCTCAAAATCATATAAAATTGTATTGTATCAATAGACAAAGAATAAACAAAACAATAAAATCAAAATGTATCTCGCTGCATTGTACGAATACCCTTCTAGTATTAAAAAATCAAACATCATCAATAGTATTAAAAAAATGTAATTTTATTTACCATACATTTTATTTTAATTTAATAAAAATTAATAAAACTAAAAATTATATGTTTATTAGTTTTTTTTCATTTTTATTTTAACATATATTTTTGTTTCAAACTTTTTATTTTGTATTTACATGATCCATAACTTAATTTACATATATTTTGGGTTGGGATTTAAAATAACGAGCAAAATATTATAAATTAAATTTGGTTAATGTGAAATTACTGATATATAGTCAAATTACAACAAATTAAAATAACAACAAAATGAAAATTATAAATTAATATTAAAAAAACACCTGATTATTCAAACAATTAACAAAATTATCACTACAGCAAAATTAGGTTTATATGACGTCCGAAAAGTTAAGCATATTAAAAACCATCTTTTTATAGGACGTTTGTTTCTATAGGGAACTTTTTTAATTCGCGTCATATAGGAAACTAGAGATGTTTTTAACGCTATTTTTTTTCTTTTGTGAATTTAATAGTTTTTAAATAAACATAAAGATTTTTATTTAATAAGTATTTTATTTTAATAAATTTGATTTGTGATTAAATATATAAGATATTTTTTAATAAAAAACAAAAAAAAAACCATAAATCATATTAAATTTTAGAGCAGATTATATTGTTGGTCCTTATAGTTTGTTTAAATATCGATTAGTCATGCATAACGGTTGCTAACTAACGTTGTTAAATGGATGGATTATGGGTGTTATGAAAAATATAAAGTTAGAGACCAACGGTGTAGATAATCCAAACTTTGAACAAACCATAGGGACCACCAATGTAAATCAATCGTAGTACTTTTTGAACCATATGTTTCATAATGTTATTTTTTGTTTCACGAGTTATGAAATCTACTTTTCGTCCATGTATATAATAATATAAATATTTATATTGGCGTCGTTTATGATATATATATATATATATATATATCATAAACGACGCCAATATAAATATTTATATTATTATATACATGTATATGTGTTCATAAATGAACGAAAATAATGGCTCAGTTAATATAAAAATATGTTTTTGATTTCAATTAGCACTACAATATCTAATATATACATCTTTCTACTAACATTTTACGAACAGAAGTCTGAATATTCATGTTTTGTTGTTTTTTTTTATCTACATACTCATCACAACTCAAATTTCCTATCAAAATATCATGAAACTTAACAGAATTAACATTAATTGTATATATTTCACATCAACCTCTTGATCTTTTGGCTTGCTGTTTTTAGTTTTGTTTTCTCGGGTTGTTGGTCGTTTTTCGTTGTCTTTCGATTGTTCTCTTTGTTTTGTACGTAGTCGTAGGTGGTTCTGCTCCTCGCATGCTCCCTTTGGCGGCCCTCTAGTCTTGTATTTGTTCTTTCTTATTTAATGAATTGGCTTTTTCCTAAAAAAGACTCTAATCAACAAACTAAAATTTGAGATCTTCAAGCCCCTTAAATTACAATTTCGGCTACGCCCTTGAATCTAATGTGGTTGTAGTGTAATAACTTTGCATATGACGCATAATTGTTTGGTTGTATAATTTAAGTCATGTAGAACAGTCTATTGGGACATTTAAACATTTGAATCGTCTTATTAACCCGATTTTATCGTAGTGTATTAAAACTCCCAAAAACAACTATACCCTTTGTCCGGCCATTGTAGCACATGTCGCCCAGGACATAAGGGGCATGATGACTTGACGTCATCGTGTCACTTGTTGCAGAAGCAAAGAGTAACATAAAAAAACAAAGAGTGTAACACCATCTCTTATCTTATCAGTTAGAAATGAAAGAAAGACTTCATATTTCAACAGCTCTTGAATTAAAAAACGAACAAACGCACGCTTTAGAGATGAAAATTCAGAGAGAGACCTTGATTTACGGCAGATTTGCAGACGATTCGGTTGGACCGGTTGCTGCATCGGAGTTTGAAAAAGGAGGAGGTGAGAGTGGAGGACTTCATCATGGGAGCCTTGGTGAAACATGGAGCATCGATGGATGCAAAATGACGATGGGTGTGTTGTAGAACAGTGGCTCTGGTTGTACCCATTCCGAAACATTTCTCCATCGCCATTTCTCCACTCTTCTTTCTGTGGTCGTACTGGTACTATGAGACCTATCTAAGGCTTGCTTCAAATAGGAATAATGGAGAGCTTTTGTGGTCCCTTTTCTTTTCTACATTTTCTCTTTATTTATCGTTTTTAGGTGGTGTTTTGGGATTGCTTGTAAAAACAACTTATTCATTTATTCCGGTGTGACACATGTAATAAGCACTTTTGAGGGTTTGGATAAAGAGTTTATACCGGTGTCAAATAAGGAGTTTTTGAAGAAGTTAAATCATTCTAACTTATCATAAGTTGATATGGACTTTTGTAGAAAAACATAAGTTGTTTCAAATAAGAGATATCTTACTTAAAAAACAAAACAAGCTAAACAAATCCAATACATCTTTTTATATACAAAAAATCTCATTTTAAAATAACGTTTGTACGTAAAAAAAAAACCCTCTACCTCAAAAGATAAAATTGTTGTTTTATTAGGTATGGCTGGGTTTATTTTTATAAAGTGTGATTTGTGACGTCTTTTGACCAATTCGTTCATGCTATATGCATAAGTCCCGTTAACTAGGTTTACACAAACCTGTAATCATTTATAATGATTAGATTTGAACCGATAATGTCATGAGCCGGTGTTTATTCACTCCAATCTGATCTGTCGGACTCGGTCTAAATGATCATATCTGAAGTTAAATATCCTAAATAGGGTAATGAGAAGCTTAACATTACATTTGTAATAATGGAACCAACTTTAACTTGGTTATTAGTATGTTCAACCAATTTTTTGCACCTCTTATTTTTTAAGCAATAATGATGAAATATAACCTTTATTTTCTTTATATTTTAGAGAACGTATAATTTAACGTCTGTTTAGTTAATGGAATGTTTTTAAGATATTTGGATTTCGTGGAAGCATTTGAAATCTTTGGTGTGTTTGGTTTATAATATATGGAATTGAATTAAGTTCCATTCCTTAAAAATAATTTATACAAAACAAATTATATGAAATTTAAAAATAAATAAATTATCATTTTATATTACAAAATAAGTGCGTTTAACATATTTTAAAAACATTGTTACAAACAAGTCCTATGAAATGCCGACAACCCAGGATTTCAAATCCATGCAATCCTCAAACCAAATGTGGGATTGGAACGGAATTGAATTCTAAATCCCTCAAATCTTATCCATCTTACAAACCAAACAGAACCTTATTATCTTACAGCTGGATTTCGAGAAGAAATCGGAATGGCTGCATATCGCAAGCCTTTGGCTCACTACGTTATTTTGACATCCCCATCTGTGTCGTGAGTCTTTTCTGTCACTGGTATCCGAGTTTGGTCTTCAGTGATCTCAGTTACTGCTGTTGGTTTTGGTTTATCTGTCTTGGTTAGTTCAATTTAACCTTATTTCGTATCATTTTATTTTGAGATGGTTTTCCAACTTTTTTTTTTTTTTTTTAATTTTCCTATTTATTTCTTTAGGTTCTAATAAAATGGTTTTACAAGAAAAACACAATAGATATTTGTGCATATAAAACTCCAATAAAATGAGCCAAAAGTATGGATATTGCTATTGTGGATCGTAAGGTTGTTTAGGCTTATCGAGTTTATGTGGACGATATTTTGAACCCTCCAATTTTCTTCTCCAAAATCTAAATTGGACACAAGAGGTTTAGGATTCTTTTGGTGACGTGGCCAAAAATGATAAATCAATGAAATCAAGAGTCAATTACATTTCTTGTCTACATGATTTATCATAACTTTTATTCTTATCCCTCAACTTCAATTAATTATATCCTTGTCCCTGTGGTTTATAATTTGTTATGAAAAATTGTTTCTGATTGGCTGGCAGCAACAACCGACAAGTCTTCTCATGTGCAAGTCATGTGAGGGGTATTTTGGTCATTTAACTTTTCTTTTATAATTTCTAATAATGTACAAACATATGTTGTGTAGGTACAAGTATTTACGATTTAATAGAATAAAGAAATTAAATATACCTAACCCTAAATAAAACAAAACTAAATTATAAACTTTGAAAGTAGTCGTTTTCATCATCTCCTATGACTCCGACTTCTACTCCAACTCTAACTTCATCTTCTTATTTTTTGAGAAAGAGAACTTCATATTCTTGTTTATCTCCATCTCTATCTCCAACATTACCATCTCCTTTAAAGATACCCACCTCGCCACCACCATCGCTGACAAAGCTCATCATCGGCGCCTCTTGTATGAATACACCAAACATGTTGATCCAAATGCTCTTAGTGATTTGATGATAACCCTTTTCACTTAGTGATTAGAGGTTATAAGTCCAATCTAAATAAATATCAACGACCGAGTCTGTTCAGTGCTTACTGGGTATTTTATAATTAACTATGTAGAATTTAAGTCCTCTCTAACGACAACTCTCACATCAAAGAAACTTTGGCGATATCGAAGAAGTAGCTGAAGATAAAGATAGATTAGACATGATTTGAAGCGATATTTAGTGGCACTAAGCTATCCGAAGAAATGTGCACTTGACTCAAGTTATCAGCGAAACCTAAAGAAATCCTCAGCAACTACTTCATTGTTGGATCAATATATTACTTATCAAGTTGTGTGTATTATCCTCTCTTGCACAAGTCAAAACCCCATGCTTCATTCTGACAGAAGGTATAGTATGGTTTACTTTATTGTTCTCTTCATGAATACCAACTTCCAGAAGCATTTTTCGTATGTGGCCAAAGTCTTCATTGCCCTGTACAAGAAGTACATGCAATCCACTTATAGTTGCTGAAGTCAATTTAAAGCATATATTATAAATAACTGAAAAGAATATCCTTCTCATGATCGTTCTCTCATCTTTGCAATCTTCTTTCTCTCTTGTTCTTATATTTATGTGTATTTTGTGCAACAAACCTGTGATTTTTACTTTGTTCTTCAGATTCTTAATACTCTAATATCAAAGTAAGTGTTATGAAATGTGTTAACTTGTTTTATATTTTAGGTTGTTACAGTACTTACTAAGGTGCATTAAATGCATAGGATATAAATAGATGAGAAAACCATTCTTCTCATAGCACTCTTCTCACTTTTGTTGTCTTCTTTCTCTTGTTCTTATCTCTCATTGTATTATGTGCAAGAAAACTTTGTGATTTCTACTTTTTTTTAGAGATTCTTAGTGCTCTAAGATCAAGGTAAGGTGGTTTAGATAATGAAAATTTATTTCTTCTTCTGCAACAATCTGTAAATTCATATGTACTGATTTATTCTTCTTACAATCAACAAACGAAATTTAAAAAGGTAAAATAGTTGTGTTTGTATTCAACCCTCTCTTTTTTACAAACTATGTATGCGTTGCTGATTCTCTAAAGACCAATAAGTGGTATCAAAGCGGTGTTTATCTTCTCCACTTTTTCAATTGATTCTAAAATGGCTACAAACAACTATCATGACAATGGTTCTCTTGCCAAACCTCCTAGACTTAACAGATACAACTTTTTTCTTTAGACAAATTGAATTTCTCTTTTTTTGAAGATGTGGATCATGAAATTCCATACTATGTCAGAGATGGACCTTTTGTTCATCAGTGATGATTGATGTTGTGCCTGCCACTGCTACTCATCCTGTAGTTCCAGAAGTATATGTAGCAATGCAAGTTCACAGTAGAATAATGATGAAAAAAAGATGGTGGCTATTGACACCACAGCCAAAACTGTCATCGCGATGCTTCTTCCTAATGAAGTCTGTTACTCCATTATGAATCTCAAAACCTCCAAAGAAATGTGGTACACTTATGTCCAATATGAAGACAAGAAAGATAAATATGGTATTTTTTTCTTCTCTCCTTTAGCTTTACTTTCTTCAGAAACTATTTCTTCAAACAATTCTTCTTCTCTCACCATTGTTGAACCACGTCTTCAACTATATGCTTCTGAAGACATCACAGGCTCTGACCTTTTAGAGTTTAATGAGTCATTAGCCCTTCTAACTAATTCTTTTAGAAGGTTTGAGAGAAAAAGTAACTTTCATGGAAACACGAGTTACACTCTCACTTACAAGCCTAAATCAATCGAGGTTGACAAGGCTACTACCATATGGTTTAACTGCAAAAAGAAAGGACACTTTGCCATTGAGTGCAGGTCCAAGAAAGTCGCCAAGCCATCCAATCTACGTTCTAAGGATGACAAGTACATGAAGCTGAAGGAAAATTACCAAAAGTCGAAAACTGCAAGCGAAAAGGTAAAGGTCTTGTTGCTGAAGAACACAACTGGGCAGATTCTTCATCAGCTTCCTCTTTTGATGAAGAAGATGTTGCTTATCTCCATTTGATGGTTGAAATCAGTGAAGTAATGATGAACCATCTGAAGCAACAAATTCCTCTCCTATAGATGAATCATCAAGTACTCCTTATGTACCTAATTTTAATGATTCCTCTTTATCTGATGTTGATAAACATTTAGCACTTGACTCTTTGACTATTGACCTTTTCAATGTGATAAATGGCAAACTAAAGCTCAAAAACTAAATTTTGATTTATCAAAACAACTTGAAAAATGCCATATCAAAATCAAAGAATTGACAAAGATTGAAAATGATCTTCGTGACCAGGTCATAGTAAATCAAATACATATTATTATTTCTATTTTTTAAAATGTACACTTAATTTGTTTTGTGTTGCATTAACTATTGTATTCCATTAACTATATAAGTTTTATATTTTGATATAAAATTTATATGAAATAACTAATAACTAACTGATAAAACTATGGTTGGTTTTAGGTTGTTTATTAGTTGTTTATTAAGTGTATTGGTTGCTTTCAAGTACACTACAAAGGACATTAAAATATTAAACAAAAAGGGGACAAGGTATGGGATGTAAGAAGTATGTTCGGAGACATGGCCTCCCTTTTGGATGTATCATATATGCATGTGTGGTGGCTCAATAAATGAGGAGGTAATACATATTTCCACACTATCTTAACTCTTTCTAAGTTTTTTTCTCTAAAATTCAAAGTGTTAGAGACTTTTGAGAAAGAGTTCTTGAGAGAAAAAGTGAGGAGATACATACATGGTTTTTATTTCTAAGGTAGAGATAAAAATACAGTAGTTTGGGTTGCAAGGAACTAGCATTCAAACA